CGATGACTTAGGAAGAAACATAATATTGCGGCTTCATATCCAAGATTTCTTATGGAGAGAAAGAATGTGTTTGGGGAGAGAAAATCCAATGGACTACTAGTATATGGATGATTACGTTCTCTCCGGGTTAAAACTGCTTTACTTTGCATGAAATTATACGGAAGCCCGTTGGTGCCATGTATGAAAAATATTTTATCTGGCGGCCGCCATTTATTAATTGGCAGCCGCCACATATATATCTGGCGGCCGCTACTTATTATTTGGCGGCCGCCACATATATATCTGGCGGCCGCCACTTATTATTTGGCGGCCGCCACTTATTTATCTGGCGGCCGCTACTTATAAATTGGCGGCCGCCACTTATTTATCTGGCGGCCGCCACTTATTATTTGGCGGCCGCCACTTATATATCTGGCGGCCGCCACTTAATTTATATGGCGGCCGCCACATAAGGATTATTTTGCAAAAGGTGAGTGTTATTGGGTTAAGAAGATGGATGTTGACAAAACCGCTGCTTATTGATAAAAAAGTAAATGATAAAAAACGAATTCTGAAATATTGGAACACCATTCTTGGAAATCCAAAATGCAAAACTTCATTTAATTCTCAACCAATCATAGCGTACAGCAAACACCATGATTTATGTCCGTGACCCTTGATGAGGCTTCTTAATAATCGAAACACTCTACAAATACTTGCATAATTCAAATCAAATATTAATCTGCTCTATGCAAAAACATATCTATTAGAAGTGTGGATTGGAGTGTTGGTTCATAATAAATCTCTTACAAGTTTGGTTGATTGATGTTGCTATTATAATTTTTACACTGTATCCACCTCTTAAACCACACATTAAAACATGCGAGCGATTCAGGAAGCCAGGTGTTATCTGGCGGCCGCCATATAAATTATGTGGCGGCCGCCAAATATTATGTAGCGGCCGCCAGATAAATATTTGGCGGCCGCCAGTTAAATAAGTGGCGGCCGCCAGATAAATCATGTGGCGGCCGCCAAATAATAAGTGGCGGCCGCCAGATGTTATATAGCGGCCGCCAGATATTATATAGCGGCCGCAAGAAAAATATGTGGCGGCCGCCAGATATTATATAGCGGCCGCCAGAAAAATATGTGGCGGCCGCCAGAAAAACTATGTGGCGGCCGCCAAATAATAAGTGGCGACCGCCACATAATTATGTGGCGGCCGCCAGATATACAAGTGGCGGCCGCCAAATAATAAGTGGCGGCCGCCAGATAAAATATTTTTCGTACGTGGCACCAATGGGCTTCCGTAAAATTACTCAGTACTAGGATTTCAATAATTGGCAAACATGTGTCAAAATTAGTCAAAAGTATATGAAAATGTCCGTTCACAAAACTGGAGCTGGCGAAATAGATGTACATAATTATGCTGGAATAATTCCCCATCATTTGAAGAGCACGTCTTTGTAAATAAAAAACTAGCACATGATTTGATCCATTATTATACATGCATGTATAAATTATGTTTTTTTTTATCTACATGTACATGTATATTTCTTTTATATATTACTATTATTTTAATTAATATTAAATTCCAATTTGAAAAATGATATTTTAGATAAATGGAAACACTTGTTCACTTTCTATAAGTACATGATTTTTGATGAACCACCAACCAAGCTCCAGATATATAGATGTTTCTCTCAAGAATGGTTGCATCTAATCTCCTCTAGGACTTTATTATTGAGGGGACACAAGCATAACGCAGTTTTGTTTTCTATAAATCGGTAAAATTATTATTACCCCCCCCCCCTCCTGTGCTCCGTCAGTTCTTACGACCATGAGATTACAACCAGTCTTCCTCTCCGCATAATACAATGTATAGCTAGCTATGCATGAGATTTCAATAGATTTCCTTTATTAACCTCTTCTTTTAGTATTTTCATATCTGTAGTCACGAATTTGGGACTTTTTTTCTGGCGTGGCATTCTTATTTTATATATTTGAGAAAACTTTATACAACAAGAATAACTAACGTTGAGTATCACTGGCAAATATTTTTTTTAAGAATGCCCTCACATGTGCATGTGTTCGCTACGAAGCAATCATTTTTGAATTTCATTTACAATTAGATACCTTATAAAGAGCAAAATAAATTAAACGTATAACACGTAGAACAATGTTTAAAAAATACAAATATCGGGTGCCCGGAAGGGAAGAGGGCTTGAAAGGGTGTTTCTGTGAATGCTTAGTTCTACCAGCAAACTTCGCAAAGTTAAAACATACTTCTGTCCCAGTCCTTTGAAAGTGGGGGTAATCCCCAATACTCCCGCCCCTCCCATTTTGAAGCTAAAAATATAACCCATACTGAGAGTTGTACAGATAGAGCGGAGAGGTTATTTCGTTAGTCTTTAAATTATACACAACTTAGCTTAATTAAGAAACGACTTAGGAAAAAAATAAGATAATTAAGTTATGTCTTACGAAATATCTTAGGAAACGTTTGTGAAACGGGCCCCTGTTCTACAGGTATCGGCCTTTAAATACTGACCAATAGCTACTCCCGCTTTTATTAGCACATAATAAACAAAAGCACGTGTTCCTAGTACATATGATAAATTAATTTATGTCGAAATATAGACACAGCTACGTAGAGGACTATGTTTACGGTGGTATTTCCTGCTTGATACAGCAAAACACTCGTCATTTTGCACGAAAAATGTTGGAACAACAAAAAGCACAATGGCTAAAGCAGCATTTTGAAAGATATACTAAAGACATCGTGCGAAAATATTTTTCATGATATAAAACTGCGTCCCATAATCACACTGTTGGTGCTACATCTAAGGCATTTCATTTGTTTCAAATCAAATCTTGGCTACTAACTAGAAGAGACCAAAATTATTCAACATTGCAATAACTACAGTAAAAATAAATTATTTAACAATACAGTAATTTTATTATATTTTATTAAAATATATATAATTTCATTGCACTAGTACCATTACATTTGGGGAAAAAAATAAGAAAAACAATATGCAGGAATGACCCATTCCAGGATTCGAACTCATTCTCTGATAAAAGTACAAGTTGGAAGGCCACCAGCACATCCACTATAGACCATTTCGAACACGATGGTTTTCCAGTGTTATTTAATGTACACACTTTGCATTTCGTTCGGAGAATAATTTTTATTCAATTTTTTTGCGTTTTCAAAAAATCTTCCTCTTTGAAACAAAAATCGGAAATGACAGTTTTGAAGAAAATTCCTGCCTCTTTGTGTATATATCAAAATAATTCTGTTTTAAGGAGGCACTTTTTCAGGTCAATGGGGATTCCCTATTTAAAAAATGGAAAATGTGATATATTTTGCCGTGAGACTAATTTTCACATCATTTATTGGCAAATTGGAAGTCAATACGCAGCTTTCAAATATTGTTTCTCGTTGTGCTTTATATATTGTTGCATTTGAAAAAAATTATTGACTTTCTCAACATAAAAATTCTTCTTTTAATCTGCTACACAATTAGGAAAAATAACAAAAGAACTGCAATACTCTCTTTCCCAGTGTCAATAAATATCAATGATTTCTGTTTCATCGCATGCTTTACAAGCAATTTTCTCCTAAGCTGAAAATGAAATGGATAAAATGCAATATGATACAATTTTCTCATTATATAAGTCGATCGTTGTAACTAAAAAACAATATAAGCAAGATGTGCAATCAGGAATTCGGTATTTTCTCTAAGGATTAATAAGCATCAGATGAAGAATTAAGGAGGTCAAATGTATATGTACCCTGGGACTGTGGATCAAGTCTGCCTGAAGGAATATTAGACGTGTGCAGGTGTGTTATGACTAAAAAACTATAAATGAAATGAAATTTTAAAAAGATATATACTCGTATATATAAAAATCAATGTTCACATAGATAAGTGGAGATGATTTTTCCACTGGTTAAAATCTATTGATTTATCATAATTTGGGTTCCGTTACAGTGTAAGTTGTTTAGAATGTGACATTTAATTTTTATTTTAAAAGCACTGGTATACTGTAAAAGTAAGTAAAAACCTTTCCATCAAATTGAACAGTAACTCAAAACTATTTTTTTTTTTTTCGATATATGATTTACACGTTTTGATACAAAATACATAGCATATGAGGCACCGATCTCCCCAAACCCTGAAATAATGGTGCTCTCAGTTTATATGAAATTAAAATTTTCTTTGTGATTAATTTTGGCACATTTCAGTGTTTGCATTTTTTGAAGAAAAAAAATTAATTCATTAACATTAAAGTACAAAATATATATTTTTTTTTTTTAGAATTTCAGGAACAATGAAGGTACATGTATTTTTAATCTGTTATAAGGACGTAACCTGCTAATTCAGATTTTAATCCGTCGGCGCGCTACTTTATGTTACCTGACTGTACCATGAGAAATGATTAGCACCCAAATATATAACTATACATGTAATGCACAACGTAAATAGTACAGCCTCGGGGAGGCTTGTTATCACATTATCGAGACCACTTCCTTAATCTTACAGGACAGTACCGGACTTAACGGTGGATAGTCCAGGGTTATTGGGCGAACGTGTTTCCTGAATCCAAGTTTGGAAACAGGAGTGATGAGGAAATTTAAGATGATTATGTCTGGTAAGTGCATGAAATCTGATAAAATAAATTATACCCATTCAACTTATAGGCAAATTAGTATGACAATAAAACTAGCGCAGTTGAGCGTGCAGGGTGACACCACTGCATGTGTTGTCTCATGGGCGTCGGAAGCAAATTGAAAGGAGGGGCTATATATAATGTCTATTTTTGCAAAAAAAAAAAGGGGGGTTAAGCCCCCCTAGCCCCCCCCTCCCCCGGTTCCGACGCCTAGATGTGTCTTCATATAGAAGAAAATAAAGTGCATTTATAAGCGAGATAAATCGTATAAATTTACATGATTGGTACATGGTATGCGGGATCGGTAAACAATAAATTCGAACAGTGACGTCAGAGTTGTAGGTTGACATAATTTGAAAATTATACCAGGCAGGTATTGAATCCGAGCAGTAGGTAGGTGAATACTAAATCTTTTCTACGCTTTAATTAAAAGATTCTTCAGGATAATAAAGCAATTATGAACTGTTTAGAACGGATACATCACAAGTTATCAAATCTAAGTAGGGCTGTCACCCTCGAGTGGCAACCAACATAATCGACTTGATCATTCATGAGTTTAATCAGTTTATAGGCCTAATAATCGTAGGATATATCTATTTTAAGGCAAACTATAATTTTTCCCCTTTCTAATTAAGTTTTGATTGTGATTCTAAAAAATATACCTTAGTAACAAAGATATCACTAAGTTTACAATGATTACTATTTAAAGATGTGAATTCTTATTTCAGAAATCTGACCCAGATTATTGCAAAGTTTTACTGCCATCAGCTACAGACAAAGGGATGCATATCACCAAGCGAATTCGCTTTACAAGTAAGCTCGTATACATGCATTATACAGTAAGCATTAGGAACAAAATACATATAACTTCGACTGACGTTTTTTTTTTAAAAAAAAATGCTTATTGTAAGGCATTTATCTACACACTGATTTGTGTACGGATTTATCCATTTTTCCCATATTCATCTTTCAGTGTACCTTTCTATTCCTCTGCTGATTACATTTGCTGTTTTGCGTAAAAAGTCAACATTGGATAAAAGTATTTTGCAACTGCATCAAAAGGAGATGGATTCACTGCGATGGAAACAAACCACTATTAATGGTATTGTTAAACAGCACTCATCTTCTGTCATAATTCAACAGAAACTCCGAAAAAGAACCACTTTCACTTATTCAAAATCCTCCAAAATTGTTTGTGTTGACTTTAGAGGCCGATTGGGAAATCTTATGCTGGAGTATGCGTTTCTGTACGCGATAGCAAAAAACAAAGGACTTTACCCCATAATTCCAGAAAAATCTCAACTTCTTACCGTGTTCAACATACAGGAAACGACATTATCGCGTATTGGAAAACGTCCGAATGCTTGTTCAGAGCTTCCAATACTTTCAGAGCGATGGGCCTTATCCTTTGATGAAAGGTTGGTTGAGGTTCCCCGCAATAACAGTGTAATGTTTTACGGTTACTTCCAGTCGTGGAAATACTGGATAGAACGGAAAGAGGAAATTAGAGATATATTCCGATTTAAAAAGTCAATTAGACAAAAGGTTGATTTACAATTCAAGGAGATTTTACAAAAAATGAATTTCACATTAGATATTGACAGTGTTGTCGTCAGTGTGCATATTCGAAGAGAGGATTATATTTCAAAAAGAGTAGTGGCTTTCGGAAAAATCACACCGAAAGCAAGTTACTTTTTAAATGCTATGTCCTTTTTTAAAAAGAGGTTTAAGAGAGTTTTATTTATCGTCGGTTCCACAGATTTAGAGTGGTCTAGAGATGCTTTACATACAGAACCCAATGTATATTTCTCAGAAGGAAATTCAGCTGGCGAGGATTTAGCTCTTCTTTCTAAGGCGAACCACACGATTATGTCTGTGGGGACGTATGGCTGGTGGATAGGTTGGCTTGCAGGGGGGATAACTATATATTACCCACATATATTTGTCCCTGGAAGTCCATTCTCTAATGATTTCAGAAATGGATCCATAGAAGATTTCATATATCCAGGTTGGATAGAAATGGAATGATAGGATGTCTAAAGTTAAATGCAATATAATTGAATAAACGAATCACTTTAAATTTCAAATATATCTCTTACGATTATATAGTCTGAATGAAGTCTGTAAATTGATAAATTTTGTTGTCAATGTATTTTCGAGCTGATTTTGAATGTTAATACAATTTTCATGTTATGATTTTTATTGATGGACATTTTCATTCTCTGAGTTTAATTTATCTGACATCTCCACGAATCTGTCTCTATAATATATGTTCTACCTTCAAGATATGTGTCTAAGATTTGCTTAACCTCCATAATCTGTGTTTGAGACATGCTTTACCATCATCTGTATATGAGCTAGCTCATTAATTATCTATGAGATGTGCTCAACCATCATATAAGCCTAGGCTATGTTCTTTGTCATCATCATCTCCTGTGCCTGATCAATATCAACATCTGTATCATATAGCTATCATCTACCATCTGTGTTTACAGATTCTTCAGAACAGCCCGCATTATACATGACATGGATACTGGTCTTAATGTTATGGAGAACGTTCAGTTAACCAGATTTTATTGAACTTCTTCAAACCAAAGCCAAAAACCATGTCCACTGATTGATGTTTTTATTTTACTTTTCCAGCTATCTTCTACCACAATCAACTCTGTCAGAGCTATCTTCTACCACTATCAACTGTGTCAGAGCTATCTTCTACCATCATCAATTGTATCAGAGCTATTTTCTACCATCATTAACTGTGTGAGAGCTATCCTACCATTATCATCTGTGTCAGAGCTTCTAAAGTATCTTCTACCATCATCAGCTGTGTCAGAGCTATTTTCTATCATCAATTGTATCACAGCTATTTTCTACCATTATCACCTGTGTTAGAACTATCTTCTGCCATCTTCAATTGAATCAGAGCTCGCCTAGGCACTATCATTATCAACTGTGTCAGCACTCTCTTCTTCCATTGTCATGTGTCAGAGCTTTGCTTTTCTGTCGTCTATGCCTTTGCCATGCTCCGTTAGATCTTCATTTAATGTGAGACTGACTTGCCTCTGTCCTGTAATCGGTATATTATCTATGTTCGTATTCATGGTATTGTATCTGATGCATTTATTTCTCTAGTATGATGACGGTACGACCGTTGGTGTGAACAAGGATACCTATTCAGCATTGGAACGTCTAAATTCTCGCCGTATGTTAGTGACATTACCAAAACGAAAGCCTGAAAAGTGCTATTCATAACAAGGAATGTTCAATCCACTATTAAATTGCTAATTAAATCATTCATGAAATATAGATGAGTTAATTGCATTTGTAACTTAGCTAACATCAAGATGCACTAGCGTTGAATTTTGATTCCATAGGTTACTATTGAAGACAAACTTGATCTTTGTGCACAGTCTTAATTTTCTCTTCGTCTAAGCGTTGGTTTAAGAGCCTACAAAGCGAGTGATGCTTTGCGCCGTTTGCTGTGGTCACTGGTTACTCATTACATGAGTACATGCTGTGGTCACTCATTACATGTAGTTTTATTTTAGCTGGCTGCTCATTTATGTAACATTCATTTCCCATCATATTTTCATCAGTCCTAAAGGATGTGGCTGTCTTGTTTTGTTACAATAAATATTGTTATACTAGTATCTAATATCTGTCAACGTCCATGTGTTTAAGCTCAAAAGTCCATTAAACAAAACAAAATAGGAGCAGAGCAAACACGGCGCAATTGGTATACATGGGAATTTCAAAAGACTGTTGGAAAATCTGAAAAAAAAAACCAAACAGATATTGTCAGTCAGAAACTCAAGCATCTCGAGAATCTTTTGAATATCAACTTCAGAGTACCTGTGTGTACGATCAGAATGTTTTAACAACATAATTTTGCAAATGACCAATGATAAGGTGAGTAAATTTACAAGTTCCATTTTTATTGAAAAGCAGCTGTGTATGATACCGGTATTTAAAAAGCCTGCATTTCTTACAACGATCCATTGGAATTCTCATGGGTTCCAACTGCGCCCCGTTATTAGCAAACCTATTTTTGCATTCATATGAAGCAGAATTTGTTCAAAATCTTATGCGAGTAAAAAGAGTTCCGTTTTTGTTGAAAAAGCAGCTGTCAATGATATCGAAAAGCCTGGACTTTAATTTATCGTTGGGAATGTTTGTATATAAAGTTGAAAAGTCGCAATTTTGAATACTGTTGATTTTGGCAAAATTTTGTGATTTCAAATATTCCAAAAGTTTCTTGGAATTTTTTTTAGTATCGATATCCACATCTGATTTACACCATTTCTCGAATATATTGTTCCTCAGTACTCCTGAAGTTTCTCCTTCACTGCTGTTATTTTAGTGAGGGTTAAAGTAAGAGACTTGATAGAACATTTACTGAAACCCGCATTGTATTTCCATAAAGATCTATGATGTTTTGGAATCCAATATAGATATTGTAATTCAGATCCATTCTGGTTGTTAGGAATATTAAACATATTGAAACTGACTATGATTTTGAAGAATCTCCTCCTTAGAAAGGGAGATTTGTGTATAAGTTAGATTACCACTAGAAGGATTAAATCCCAGTTCCTCCTAAACACCATTTAATAAACCTTACAAAGACAATGTTGTTACTTGCTTTATCATCAGGGACCAGTACATACTGACTCTGTATTCTATTTAAAATTCTTTTTTCACTTCTGAGTAACTGGACACAAACGGAATAGATAGATTTCATTTTGCCCCTCAATCGCACAATGCGAGATTTTAACATGCATCTGGTACATTTTATTCATTATACCCCCGCTCCGAAGGAGAGGGGGTATACTGTTTTAGTCCGAAACAAAACTGAACACAGGTGCTTGAAATTTTAACACAATCTTCTCTGAGGCATACCATATGGTGGGATACATTTTTGTTTAAATCCGATGTCAACTTTCTGTTTGTCTGTGCGTCTGTCCGTTTCATACAAAACACAGTTTCGTCAGTCAGCAACAATGCGAGATTTTAACACAAACATGCATACATTGTGGTACATTTTGTTCAAATCCGATGTCAACTTCCTGTTTGTTTGTTCGTCTCTGACATATAAAAACGTCACAGATGCTTGAAATTTTAAAACAATCTTCTCTGAGGCATGCCATAGGGTGGAATACATTTTTGTTTAAAAGTAACAAATCTTCGTCGCAGTTTTCTTTATTCATGTTTTGCCCATATGGTGGGATTAATTTTGATATGAATCTGATGTCAACTTCATATTTTTCTGTGCAGCGTAATCTTGTGTATATTTACATGATAACAAAATTCATACATGTGTCTTTGAAATTATGACGCCAGTTAAAAGGTACAGGTATCCCTAAAGTTTAGCCCTTTTAAAATTAATGATTTAAGGTCCTCATTATTTACGTCACAGGTAATAACGTGTCCAGCATGACTATAGTTGTAGGCTGAAGAAGAACATGAAAAGGAAGGAGGATATCGTCTCAAGCCACGGTTTGGAGTCCGCTTATAGCTATCTCCTACCTGTGGCTGCTTGATCACTTAAATTGTCGTAAACTTGAATATTTACGCCTGTATGCTGTGACGTCATGTTCAGCCAATGGCAGTATTCGTTTCCATCGCAATTGAGACCAACAACTGTCATTCATCCAGGACCAGAATGGAAAATGATCGTACATTTTGGCCATGGTTTGCGAGGATGAAAGAGGATTATGTCTCAGATATTCTGGATTTCTGTATAATTGTATAATACATAAATTATTTGTTCTATACTAACATTCTTGACGTTTGTTACAAGTTGCATCTTATGTCTATACTCTTGTAGTGTTATCTGTTTGTGTTATGAAGAACACCTGTATTCAAACCTAGCTTATAGCACATTTTTCTTTAATTAAACATTGTAGCAAACCTGCATCCATTTGTGGATACAGTATCTATTTGTACATAATATGCTTCCACGCACCATTTCATTTATAAATCGGAACAAAGTTGTAGCCATAACTAAATATTAAACTTGGATAATTACGTGGCGAATTTTAAAAGATACCAACAAGCTTTGTTCTCACTGCACGTCAGTAAAAATATTCTAATCTTGATATGACTCTAAGGATTGTCGACAAAAATTTACAATCATATTTATCAGTAAACTGTAACATTAGTGAAGAATTGAACGTAACATTGGAATTGGTCTTGTTCAGGTAAAATCTTAAAACGTCTAACAATGCACTTTTCAGTTGCATCTGTTAAAGGAGTTGGGGTCAATTTAAGGGGGGGGGTTGTCCTTGCTTCTAAACCATTGCATATACATTATAATATATGTATTACCCTATTTCAGAAATCTTACATGGTATGTCTGTATCGTGAGTATGCTTTCAAGTATCTTTATGAGGTAAAACTCGATCACTTTTCTCTTCACTGGAATAGGGTTAGTGCAAACACACACAACGTCTAAACCTAAACGTTATAGATTTACTTTCGGTCAAATCGAGGACACCATCACATAGCTATCCAATGACGTACTCAATCGGGTCTCTCAGGACAAGGGTCTTTGCTAGAAGGTAAAAAAAATTATTCCCAAACAACACAGATTTTCATCAATTTATCATTAGCAATTTATACGCAATAAAACGCTATCCATTCTTTGATGAGATTTTTTTTATTTGTTTACCACCAAAATGAGTAGATATAGCATCAAGTTTCCGTGCAATTTGTTTTGACATTCAGAACTTTCACGATAGGTTTATCACTTGTATACATTTCGTTGTTGTAGATTCAAAGACCCACTAGCATTCCTTACAGGTTAGCTTTACGTTTCCTTTTTATCATATGCGATAAAACAAATTACATTTAGTCTTAAATTATTTGAAAATTTCAAACCAAAACATTAATTTATTGCAGTGATCGTTCTAGCAGTTGTCTTAGGCTTAACAGCAGTCCGGAGAGAAGTGTGCAGATCCTGGCTACAATACTCTGATAGAAGTCTTCAAACTACACATAAAGTGAATAGCATAAAATATCATAAGATGAAGAGAACTAATTTCACGTATGATAACTCAAGAGCCGTTGCTTGTGTCAATTTCAAAGGGGGATTAGGAAATTTGATGTGGCAATATGCTTTTCTGTACGTCTTAGCTAAAACCAAAGGCCTCTATCCGATCATTCCTGTAAATTTCAAACTTCTAGATGTGTTCAACGTTCAGCCTACGACGATCCAGAAAACCCCAAAGCGTTATAAGACGTGTTCACAGCTACCGAGGCATGGAGAACGGTGGGGCCTATCGTATGACGAGGACTTGGTCAAAGTCCCATCACATACGAACGTAAAATACGACGGTTACTTCCAGTCGTGGAAATACTGGATAAAATTTGAAGATGAAATCCGAGATATTTTTCAATTTAATGACTCCATGAAGGAGTCAGCTTCTTCCCAGTTTGGAGATATTTTACAAGAGATGAATTTTGACAGGAAAGGGGTTGTAGTAGGCGTTCATGTCCGACGAGGAGATTACGCCACAAAAGGGCACAAGAAATACGGGAAATTAACTCCCAATGCAACCTATTATAAGAACGCCATAACATACTTCAGGAAGAGATTTCAAAATGTTTTATTTATTTTAAGTTCTGATGAAATTTGGTGGCCAATAAAAGTGTTGGAATCGGAAACCGATATTTATTACGTTCGAGGAAATTCGGCCGCTGAGGATATGGCCTTGTTATCCCTGGCGAATCACACCATCATGTCTGTCGGAACTTACGGTTGGTGGATTGGTTGGATAACAAGAGGAATAACTGTGTATTATAAGCATATATTTGTTCCGGGCTCAGAATTTGCTAAAGAGTTTAGAAATAATTCCATCGAAGATTTTATATATCCTGGTTGGATAGGAATGGAATAAAATAAACATAATTTAATTTTCTGACATAAATTTCGGTAACTGGTTGTTCATTCATAAACAATATGATATAATGAATATGAGGAGTAGTAGGTGATACAAAGTCTGTAGTTGATGTTCTAATAAGATATCTTCATCTGGTGACATCTCACAAGTTACAAAATATCATTCATAGGATGTAATACAGTAATTCAATCAATTTATTAATCAATCAATTACTATTGTTTGCAGCTGACTATAAAGTTTCACCTTACCTCACGATCTAGTTGACAGCTGCACTCAAGGTAAATTGTACACGCCTCCTAACCGCAATCTTTACGACTGGAACTTTCTTCCTATCCCTGATTGGTTGCTCGTGCAACAGACTATTTCCGTATCAATGTTGATAATTTTAGTTGACCAATCACGTGAATTGTTTACGCTGGATGCATCTGACGAAAAAGATCGTGACGAAACGTGAAACTTTAGAGTTAGCTGCAAACAATAGTATCAATCAATCAATCCGCTTTGTCTTTTGGTCTTAGTCAATCATTATTACAGATTATAAAGTATTTCTTCTAATGCATGGCAGAAAAACAACTAGAAATTAAATACTACAGTATCTTATCTCATTAGTTGGTTCAAAAAGGAAAAATTGAAAGATTGTGCTAGAAAGAATAATTATCTTTAGAAACTTCATGGTATACCTTTTCTCAGGATTACTAAAAATTGCAGTGATAAGAACGAAAAACCACCTATTGCAAACAGTTCACCTATGATGCTTGTGCTAAATTTCAATTTCAAATAACTAGGTCAATGACCTACTTTTCATGCTAGTGGCCCCTCAGTATTTCGCGGAAAATACCTCAATTTTTCACACTATGACCAATTTTTTCTTCACTCACAAAATATTACAAGCAACACACAGGGGCCGGTAACATACTGTTTTTGATTTTACGTAATCACTATATATATACAAAAAAGGTCTCTTTTTGTATACATATAGTAATTACGTAAAATCAAATGCAGTATGTTACAGGCCACTGTGAAGCAACCAACTCTTTAAATAATGAAATATTATAGCAACAGACCAGCTTTGCTTCATTTAAAGAAAAGATAATAGTTTGGGCCATAAACTTAATAATCATAACCGTCCGAATTTCCTCTGTCATAATTATATTTTTCCCCATTTTTGAATTGAATATTTAAAAGATCTGATTGATAAGAAATCTAAATTATTTATAGCCTCAGAATACTTTTGTTGCCCTAATTCTCATAGAATTAATATTATATGGGGGTCAATGATCAAATTATTGAGATATGTTGTCTGGAATGGTTTTTGTTCATATATTTGAATTTCTTTATCTCATAGCATTCAATTATTTGAAAAAAACTATGAGCTTTAACACCTTTAATATTTGCAAAATGATGTTTAAAAATACATGTAACCTTTACATTGTGATTAATATTGCAAGAAGAAATAAATGGAAAATTAAAAATTTAGTCCGAATTCCTCTGCATTACCATACATTGATTTTTGTTCCTGTTTATTTTCTTCGAATAATAAAACATTAAAATTTTAGATTGATATTGAGTTAAAGCTTGATTATTTTATCCATTTAGAACAATTTTTGATTTAACGTATTATACTTTATACAATTATGGACTCTTTTGGTGTTGAATATGGTTTGTTATTCACCAGAAAAATATTCATATTGACCGAGGCGAATATTAATAGACTATATAATAATATAAAATATCCTTTCTGATTTCTGAAACCTGAGTAAACGTCATCCTTAATCTTCAAATATTGCCTTCAAAGCTAAAGGAATTCATTTACTTTGGTTTCATTTTATTTCGTGGGGTTCAATGTTCGTGGATAAGCAAATGTTTACTTGTTTGTCGGAATGTAATTTCGTGGGTTTCCTTTTTTACTTTAATCGATAGATTTGATAAGTCCATATGTTCACAAAATAAACGTTAATGGGGATATAAATTCGTTGGAAAAGATGTTCTACAAAATCTAGGAACATTGGTCCCCAATTATTATTCCACAGAGGAGAAGGATTTGATAACACACTTTAGACATTCTTGAAAGTTATGCTCTTGATTTTAGATATTGGGAATTTCCACAGTACCTTGGTTTTTAGTTAAAACAGGGATCTAATGTCTCTGATAAATCTGGATAAGTGTGCACTCTTTAAGATATATTAAAAAACATTTTGTCCCACTCGTAAAATAAATTCGATATCCAGTTAAAAAAACACTGATTCAGAATAATACATGTAGTATCTTTTAATAAATCCTGAACATTTATCACTGTTGTCAGTATAAAAATAAAATGGATCCCTTGAAACACCAGAGGTGGGATATCAGGAGTCTAGTTAGCATCCCCTGTCTACCTGTCATACTTCTTTTGAGCCGTCTATATTGACAAAGTCAACAGTGAGTCGTGATCAAAATTAGAATAAAAACAATGACCTTTCAACAGAAGATAACAAAAGTGATACATCGTACTTGCAAAGTCATTATATTGACCAGAGATTGTTTTGCAAAATACTGACTTAAAACAAGGTCATAGAAAATCATATATATAGCATTAACTTATCTGTTAGTAGCCTGCCCCTGTTTAAAAATGTAATCGTACCCAGTACTTTTGAGTACCGAATCATTTGGAAGACGTAGACATTATTATACAGGTAAAAGTGGACTGCACCTAAATAAGTAATAAAGTTGACAAAAGAAAAGATGTAGTTGTCTTAATTGGTACAAAGTGTAGTTTTTTGTTGACCTTTAACGTCAACAACCTGTTCTGAAAGGAAATTGACCTACTTTTTTGAACTTCAGACAAAACATACCATTTTACACATTTTAAAAACTGGAAATGATCTACATCTAGTGGCATGTAACTACATACCTACATTTTGAAATACGCTTGCTTACAAAAAATCTGTTAAAAAATTGTTCTCCAACGATATAGCTTTAAATGTAGTAGAACGTCTTTGACATTGATCGACCAATGTAAACAAGATATTTTCTCCGTGTTGTTTTAAACAAATTGTAACATTATTGAAAATTATTATAATTAGTGGATTTCATATCACTACTGGAACTACTTTGCACTCCTTGACTTTTAACTTTGTAAAGATGGAAGAAACCAGCCCATATTTTTTTTTTATTTTACCACCTACGTTTGTTCATATAAGGCAGTGACTCAGTAAAGACATTATTTAAGATAAATATCAAAAACAGATATTGTAAATATTGCAATAACTTTTTGATAACTTTCATTTATATATTGAACATAAAGCACTTTTACATCCTACACGTATACTTGTATCATAGGATCTTTATAACCTCAAGTTGTCCACATTAGAGAGGGCAGGAAAATCAGATAAATCTGCCGCTGATGCTATATAAGACAATTGATTAACATCAACAGGTGCCCGCAGATCCAACACAACATGCAGTCTCATTCGGCGGCAGTGGTATTCCTGACAGCTTCTTTATTCATGGGAATCTTTGCTAATGTTTCCAGAGAAACATTACAGGAGTTTGTTAAGGTTTGTCTAAACTAAATTATTGATATCAATTCATTATTTTCTATATACAGCTGTACAACTTCATTCGTCATTTAGATGTTTTAACATTAAATGTGCACTCTTTCTTTTTTACCTAAATTAAGATAATTTTAAAAACCCTTTTCGTGTATTTAAAGGGTACTTTTTTTTTTACATTATGCCATGCAAACTTCTTTAATTTCAAGCAGTTGTTATATGACATATCCCAAATTGGTATCATGGCCGTAGGAGGTTTTTATTATCCCAATCAGAATACTGTATTTTTCATATCAAGTGTTTAAAAATCAATTATACATTTAATAAATTTTTAACAAAAATATAGTATTTCCACTTGTTATCGATGAGTAATATTGGATTAAAATGCTTTTTGTATTTTTCTTAATGAAATGTGAAGGTAAAAAGCAATTTATTATTTTTTCTTAAGTCGTAAGTCCTTTTGTAAAACGGCCCCAGGAATCCCGAAGGTTTGTTCGGAGAACACAAGCGTTTGTTAATGTTTGGCTAATGTACATTAGCCAGTTTATGTCTGTTACATAAAAATGTTATGATAAATTTCATGATTAAATATCCCTTTATCACATTTGAAAGGTGCATAACCAGAAAAGGAACGATGCAGGAGGAGCAGATATGAAGGAATTGGTACGTTCTGTTACAGATGAACTAAAAACTCTCTACTCCATGTAAAGTTCAAATAATGTTTTTTACTTAATTTCAATCCCCCGACTTAAATTCATTTAAGATTTGGAGTGACGAACTTGGAAGATTCGCACAAAATCACGCTGACAAATGTATTTTTGAAAAAAGTGAAAATGAAACCAGAGTAACGGCAGCATTTCAAAACGTAGGGGAAAATATTAATGTAATATCGACTTCGGGTAAGTACTGTAAAACATTAATCAAATGGACAGATGGTGTAAGTATTGTAAAACATTAATCTAATGAACATTGGGTGTAAGAATTGTAAAACATTAATCTAATGAACTGTGGGTGTCAATATTGTAAAACATTAATCCAATGGACAGTGGGTGTAAATATTGTGAAACATTAATCTAATGGACGGTGGGTGTAAGTATTGTAAAACATTAATGTAATGGATGGTGGGTGTAAGTATTGTAAAACATTAATCTAATGGACGGTGGGTGTAAGTATTGTAAAACATTAATCTAATGGACGGTGGGTGTAAGTATTGTAAAACATTAAATGGACGGTGGGTGTAAGTATTGTAAAACATTAACGGACAGTGGGTGTAAGTATTGTAAAACATTTATCTAATGGTTCTGTTCAAAACAAATCGAGTCATGATAAAGACAAAAACTCCGACTCCTGGAAAACCATATGTGGGATTAGGTTCTTAGGAGGAATGTTTTCATGAGCCTTTAAATACCTTAAATGAGCTTTATATCAGGTATACGGAGTATTCCGTAGTCACAATTACCTAACACATGGTATCAAATATGTCAGACAAAGCACAACCCAATGTTAAGTTGAGTTTACAAATAAGTTCATTGTTATTACTGTTGAATTTGCAAAAACATTATTTCAAACGGGGTTGTTAAAATCCGTAGAACATCGACCTTTTTGCAAGTAGTTTATCTCTGTTAAAAATTGATCCTACTTGGAGCATGCTCTAGCGTATCGATCAATTCGAAGACTAAAACACCAAATGCAGATGACGTTGGATTACAACTACATAGACAAAGGCATGGCAAAGCGGAGCAGCCCCATCGAAAGAATATATCTATACCATAAATCAAGACAGCGTGCGATCCCGATTCAAATTATGTCACCCGTTTCGCACAAGGAAAAACTAATACACACTGTCACAAAGACATTACTATATCCCCTCCAACTGTTTGAGAAGTTGATGACGGAAAAGCTGAGATGGAAAGAGAAAAAAATGCCCACATTTGGTCAATTTTGATTGTTTTTTTAATAGAGCTTAAACGTGCCCGGGATTATTTTCTCAAAAATTTATTATCATTTTACACATCATCTCAAAAGATGAAATATGAGAAGACCTTTCAAATATTTACATTTCCAATGTCTTTGTCCAAGATAAAATTACCAATTGTAAATGTACTTTATTTTCCCATCAATGTATTGGCGCGGTTCCAAAAAAAACCACGTGCAGGGCGGGACAAACAGCCAGACAGAAGCAGGGTTTGGAGCACATGGATTGGCGGAATCAAAGCATGTAAATATAAGGAATAACTGTCAGATTTTTCAATTTCATGAAGATGATCAATCGATTGGCTTGCGTGATAATTTTATGCATAAACGCCTTCGGCGTTTATGCAAATTATCACGCAAGCCAATCGATTGATCACTTCATGAAATCGAAAAATAAGACAGTTATTCCTTAAGTCAAATTATTGTTGTAAAAGTCAATTATATTTTTTCGAAATCGTTGAAATGTCAAAGTCACGTCTTCTTTTACGCCATATCTTCCTTTGATGCCAGAATGGATGAAAATGTAACAGACAATTTGGCACCTGACCTTACATCTTTCTAGAGAACCGTATTGTATGCCCTCTTGACAAATTTGTATTGTTCTTATGAATCTCAAGATCAATAATTTTTTTTACCTTTTTATGCAACAAAGCATATCAAGGTAGAATACTAGTAGTAAACGATTTATGTGTGATGTACTATAATATATACAAAGGAAGAAGGAGAAAAACTACCGAACTAGTCATCTTTTAAAAATATTTATTTTATAACAGAATTCGGGCATTTTGGCGTGTTTCGTGTTGTTTCTAATTGGACTAAAGAGAGAACTAATTATAAGTATAGTCACAATACCTGCACACCCAACCATTCCTGTGACAGTTACAAACAGGTAGATAAGCAGATTTATCGTGTTCACAAAATTTAAACTACAGTATTTTAATTCTATCATATTTTGGGGGGGGAATTTTACGGTGAAAAAATAGAAATCATTCAAAAACATTAAAATTTTCTTCTAATTAAAGAGGTATTTAAGCCTATTCAACGTAATATTTTATTCTAGAATGTTTTATAAAAACTTCTCTGAAAACTACAGTAAAAATTTTGATCGGTGTTTTTCTGCTGATTAAATTGAAGATCAATTTCATTTTAGGTTGTCCGTGCGGACACTGAATTTATCGGATGTGGAGTAAAGATTTGTGATAACATCGTGTTTACTGTTTGCAATTATGCGCCAAGGTATTTATAAATCTAAATTTTTAAGCTTTTACTTTTCTAAAGACAAAGAAAAAACAAGTGCAATAATTTCAACTTATTATATAGCTAATAAATAGTCTCTAATACAATGCTACCAAAACTTTAGAGAATTTTAGCGTTCAATGTCTTGACGTTTTATTGAACGCTGATTTTGTATTGCGCGTACGAGTATGCCCCAAACATTCCGAATACGAGCGTTCAATATCGAACGGCCCGTTGTAAACAAAAAAAGTCATCTGGTCAAAATGCTAAATTAAAGAAAATAAGTAGTATCTAGGTAAGATGCGTTTATTTTTCACATAAAAATGAAATTATTAATAAAAAAATTAGTATGTATTACACCTATTAAAACCTAAATAAGCAAATCGTAACGCTTAGTAGGGTCATTGGAATGATAAGATATTGAACACTTACAGGACAGGCGTTAATTTGAATACCGGTACTAAAAAAAATCATTAATTTGAGTTTTTATTAGTTGGAATAATTGTTATAAATTATGAGGAAATGTTTTAGCTATATAATAAAGGAGTTATTGAACTTATATTGGTGAATATTGGCACTCTTTGGCTGTACAAATGCACTCGCAAGCTCCTGCATTTGTACAGCCAGCTTGTGCCAATATTCACCAATATAAGTTCAATAACCGTATAATACAATGTATTTTCAACTTTGATATTTCAGAGGAAATCCCGAAGAAAGACCATACCCTCGTCGATGTAGGAATTGTCCGAGTGGTTACCGCGAAGAAGCAAATCTCTGTATTAAAAAATTCCTGATAAATTCCGTACAGAACCCTTTGTTGAATTCGAGGTCGAAATAAAATTCCATCTTCATTACTGCCAAATATGATAATTTTGAGCTTTATCAGGCTTCACTAGCCGATCTGTTTTTGTGACCGCCTTCGGTCGATCACAGCTGATTTTATATATACATGTGTGAGGTATCCGGCAGATTAAACAATCCGCGCACACATTACGCCCTGCACTACTTTACTATGCACAGACAGATTCATTTAACCTTTTAGAACATGTTAAATACTAGTTAACGAGCATTATTTTGAAGAATTTGCCTTGAGATGCAGACATTTATTCACTAATATTCAGTAACACTGTGAATGAACTTTTTTAAAATGCGTAAGAATTTCATTAGGAAGTACACACACTTCCTTAAGGAAAAAAGTTTATTTCGGAAAGCAACAAAAGTAGGCACCACAAAAGTATCATTGAAATCAAATCAGAGAAAGAAAGCACCACAGATTTGTATTCTATTCCATTAAATTTTATAGCACTATGGACACGTAGAGTATATACATTGATACTTTACAAAATATTAAGCTGTAGCAAGCTTGTTTTTAACATGATATAAAAACAGTTTTGTTGTTTTGTAGATCTATACAAGGTTATGTGGATTAGGTAAACTAGATAAGGTATTTATATATATTTAATAATCTTGTATACTTTTTTCTGACATGTTCATACACAGGAAAATCAAGTTTTTCATCTTCAGCAATAGTTTTACAATTGAAACATAATCTATTTTCTGTAGGATTGACAGGATTAGATTAACTACGGAACCTGTTTCTACATATACTACTTATGTGCACTTAATTTGGTAAAATAAGAAAAAAAAATTCTTATGAAGTGGAAGACATGCAGAAATATGGTTGGACTTCCGGTTTCTTTACATCATGATTGAATGATGTACTATAAAATGAAAGTTTAATGCATTGAGTGTTGTCAATATGTTGAAGTTCAGAAAAGAATTCATTTTCAAAGAAATCTTAAGTTTATGACCAAACATTTAAAAAGCATTTCAAAGTTAAAATTTAACGTCTTCTGTATTTATTCTTTACAACTTTGCCGACATTTTTTTTTTAATTTTTACTAGCCAATTGTGTATCTTCCAAGTAAGCATCCCTTAGTAAGATATTGTTTTTATCATCATTGATTTTCTTAATTTTTCCAATCTGGAATTGCCTATGAAGAGTTGAGTGTGTTATTGGGACAATAATTGATTCACAGAGCTTTAACCACAATTTGGGAGAGAGACCTGAGATATGTAGTTTATACTTCAAGGCAAAATAAGCTTTATGGGCTCTGGCAGCAAGATCATCACAAGCATGTTTTAGATTGTCATTTGATTGTAAAAATATGCCAAGATATTTGTACTTATCAATTATTTTTTAATTATTATTGTTGTAATAAAATCCATAATAATTCTTAATTTTCTTGTTTGACTAAACCATAACCTGTTTTTTTTTTTCAAAGTTTACATGCAACTTTCATTCATTCTATACAATATCATGAAAAACTGCCTATAAATTTTGGAGGCCTTGAGATGACTCTGATGATAATTAAAGCATGATCACTGATCAACAAAAATTAAGTGATTAAAAGTTAAATCACCTGATTAAACTCAGGTGACCTACATGTACTGTTATCCGTTTTCGTCCGTCGTCTTGTAGTGTGCGTCCCGAGGGCCTCTAATTATAAAATCCCGTACCCTAGAATTGTTTATTTTTGTTCAATTGTTCTTAAGAAGCACAAAAAATAATTGCATATTTAAATATTCAATTTCAATAACATTTTTCAAAGAAAGAGAATATTGTTTCTGAATAATAAATGTTGTATTTCAAAATTTACAATGACAATGATTCTCCTAATACCCTGTAATTAAAAAAGAGTATGACAGAAAAACAGAGTTTTTTTTCTACAAAGGTCTAGCAATGTCGAGTGTTACATTTTTGAGGGTCTTGGTTGGATTAATGGCCCTTCTGGTTTGGAGCAAATGTTTGGAAAATCATGAAATGTTCAGTAGAATCCCTATTTTAGACAATGTGATGAAAGTGGACTTTCTGTTGGCTGAATTTTGGATGAGCAGCAAATTATTTTGCGGTGCTTAATGCTCAGAAATGATAGACCAATGTAGGGCCTTTGCATGGAACAGTGTCTCAAAGCGATGTTTGCTGTATTGGCAGAGTCTTGAACAAATTCCATCTTCAGGGGTGACAGAAGTCGGGTGGGAACACTTCAATTTGAAAGGTATTGCCTTAATAGGTTTGAAAAGCACAACCATTTACATCTAATTTCAACATTTTGCAAATTCTGTGGACAAAACAATCTATCACATTGTTGAATGTTGACCAGTCTGACGTTTTCCATACCAATTGTTTTGCCATCATTTTCACATTGAATTGTCTACGGATTTTTCCTATTAATTTTTAAAAAGAGAATGATATCATTGTTTTTTTTTAATCTATTTCTCAATAACTTTCTTGCTTTCTGTTTGAAGACATAAACTCAGTATACCGTAGGTGACAGGGGAATATTGCTACAGAAGTAAGGAAAGTTGACGATAGAAAAGTTGAAGTCATCATATCTATCTTATTGTTTTGTTGTTAGGTCATGACTAACTTCAACTTCTTTTCCTTAGGCAGCAATATACCTTCATCACCTGCATACGAAGTATATATATCTGAGTTGATTCGATACGCAAGAGCATGCTCTTTGTATGAACAATTTCCAAAACGAGGTAAATTATTGACAAACAAGTTGATGAAACAAGAATATCAGCAGTCTCATTTAAAGTTATCATTTCGGAAGTTCTATGGTAGATACAATGACCTTGTCAGCAAATACAATATATCATTGAGTCAAATGCTGACTGACGTTTTTCATACAAATTGTTAGTCCATTATTTAAATACTGAATCGATGACGGATTTTTCCGTTATTTCCAGATCATGACAAAGAGCAGACGGTGGTGTGACCGGTCGGCAGGGGATACTCACTCCTCAATGTCACCTGATCCCACCTCTGATATTTTGGAGGTCCGTGTTTGCTCTGCTTCTATTTTGTATTGTTTTATAAACTTTGATATTGAATACTATTCGTTACATACTATTCTCCATATACTTCATTGTAAAATGTCTAAGTATGATTCAGATATGTCAGATTCTGTAGGTTTTTTTTATTTCAAGTTCAGAGGAATTTATCATAACAACATAGTATTAAAAATGAATATCGTTTCTCTACTTCATAAAATGTCAATTTATCTAAATGTTGAATTGAAGGCCATAGCAAAAGTCTTCTCCTTTCCATGTGAAGTATTTGAATAAATTCTGCTTGGTAGGATGACAATATTTATTTTCCACTTCAGAGTACTTGTATCTACAATCAGAATATTTTTGAACAATTTTGAAAGTGACCAAAGACAAAGACAAATGGAAAATTTTACAATACAAATGGAAAAGATCCAATATTGCAACGTTTGAGTTGCCATAGTTTTAGTCTGATTTCAAGTTGTCTTGGCACACTTGTAGCCTACACTAAGGTACATAAAGCTTTTTATCGTTTTTGATTTCGATGTTACTAAAAACAATTGCTAAAACACAGAACGCATTTTTTCGTTAAATCGAGTCCGTAGGACATTTATCATTTTATGATTTTCACGATAAAACATCATATCTAAAGCTACCCAGCAAATCAATAATTCCTAACATTACAATGTGTACACCAGGTCACGTGATCCTTACATCAGTGTTAGCTTGATGACGCGACCTCTAAATATAGAATGATGAAAATTCTGTTTGAAGCTTAATTTAGTCCAGCACGAACCCGATTGTGAACCAAATTATAAAATGAAAAATTCCATATTTCTGTCAAAAATCTATGAAGCGGAACTAAATCAAGCTTGAACTGTAAATCATCAAATACACTCACATACCAAAACTGAAAACATCAGCTCAATATCTGCAAGTGTTTAGAAAAAAGTGCAAAAAACCAAGTGGGACAGACTTACAGACAGACAGAGGGACAGCTAGACGGACCCGCATGTGTTATGTAATTTTTTTTTCAGCAATAGCTGTGGTGTTAATTCCAGTGCTAACAAACAAAGAAAGACATTTTATTGTTTTTATTTACATCTGTATAATGTTGAATTAAATATGTTAAATATTGCGTGACTATGTCATTGTATGCATAACTGATGGAACAAACATTTTTCAAGAAATCTACGCACGTGGTTTGCTTAGTGTCGTTTATGCACTGATTAATGGGATTGGTCTTCATAAAAAAATAAAAGGAAAAAAAATATTAAGTGGATGTAAATATTTTAAGGTAAATTTAAATCAAATGTTAATGATACATGTAGCTATTATACATTAAATCTTTGATATTAGCTTTAGAGGAAAAGGTTGTGCAAGTTCGAAAAAATGTCTATTCAGAAGTTGTCTGTCCCACTGTTATTAAGTTAAGGCAATACTGCAGCTTCCAACGACTCATATAAATTTTTACGATGTAAGGATGATTTTCAGCAATATTAGGAGGGATTAAACATTTATTCTTTTGTTAAATTTGAGTAGATGAATTTAGGAATTATATACAAATTATATTTTGTAATCATTTTTTCCCGAAACTTTCTTTTCAGAGTGCTCAAAGGTGTAAGAAAACGGTGTTTTAGACCCCGACAAGCCTTTTTAAGTGGCACAATATTAACGGGATACTGTAATCCTGGTTACGGCACCATTTCAGGACCGATAACTGCTACATGTGATGATCATTATCAAACAAAATTCTTTGACATTTGCCAAGAACGTATGTACCTTTTGCAGATACATGTACATGTATTATCAGACATTTGTTGTATCGTTTTTCTTTTCTGCAACGTGGGTGGTTAAAAAGCAAAAGAATGCGCCTCATCAAACAATTAAAAAACGAGAATTATGAAAGGGAATGCTTTTATTTGAAAATATCCATGTTGAATTAGGAGCAAAAACAAGTCTCAGTTATAAACCCTCCAAACCTAAGCAGGTTGGCTCCTGTTATCAAAAGTATTGAATTTTTTTTTTTGGTCAATTATATTTTTAGAATATACACACATAGCTTAATGAAAATTCAAAACTAAAAAAGGGAGTAAGCGCGCTTCTTTAACCACTGCCAAGCAATTATTATAATAATATGACCTATTTTACCATCATTATTATTACCATCATTAAGTCTAACACAGAAATTATTTTTCAAAGCTTTTCCTTTCAGGCAGGATTCTTCTCATATTTCTGGTATTTAAAAATTAATGAAATTTTCACAGAATCAAGAAGACAATAATCACTAAGTGAGGGTATCAGTAAGATTAAGTTTGACCGTTTTATATTAGAGGCAAGGTTAGGTCAAGATCATTACTTTTCCCTGGACATTAAGAATAAAAAAATAACTGTTTCCAGTCATGTCATGCCTACTTGTATTTCCAAAGAATAATCATTTTCTTTTTGCATAAAAATATACTACCATATATAGGGCCTATAAGATGATATACGAAAGTGACATAATTAATTTAACTAAAATGGATATTGCCTAATCCGAATTTTCTCTTCTTTTCTTAAATTTCTAGGATATAGTGGTTATTTCTAAATGCTTCCTATATTCAATTTTTTCTTATTTTCATATATGGTAAAGTTGCCATATAAAGATACAAAAACAAAAAGTGTTGATCGTTTGCTAAGAGAGAAAACACTTTTTACGTATTTTGGCTCAAATCTTTACTCAGATTGGAAGCTTATAAAAGCTAATATACTTCAAGTTTGTTTGAAAAATCATATTTATTTGATATATTTAGGATCTTTAGCCCCTTTTTATTAATTAAACTTACATTTGAAAAGTTCTTCAAGTCTTTGATTGTGTAAAAATTATAACTAAATTTATTGTTCTATAATTATTTTGAAGGCATAAAAAATATTTTCATTCGCCACCATTCCGCCAAAAATATAGTTCCTGTTAGTTTTCAAACGCGGTTTACCATTTCTGTTTAAAGTTGCATAATTGTGATGAGGCAAGAAATATTTGGTCTTTTAAATCTTTTACACCTGAATATATAAGACATGGAAGCAAATATACTTTGCATGTTTTCTTATAGTCAGAAACCAGAGAAGAATCCTACCTTAAAGCCGCTTGGTCCGATTCTAATCGCTAAAAAATATATTCGTTTTTCTTCTTGAAAAATAATTGTCCATAAATTGTTTCACCTTTTGTCAAATTATATCCCCAAAGTCTTTTTCTTTTAAAAGATATCAAAATTCAAAAGTTAAAAAAATAATTTTTGTTAGGTCACACAAAAAATAATCTTATGTTGATATCGCGTGAAATCCCCTTCGAAAAACTAAATTTATCGCTTACATGTATATCTCATGAAGAACGAACCCGAGCATTTTTTTCACAACAAAGTACTTATACCTGTACATGGACAATTGTTTAGCCTTCGTTACTAAAATTCCTTTAAAAAATATCTGATTTTCCTTTATTCTTTAAATATGCATATTGATGTAAAAATTACTATGGATTATATATTCCATGACTAAGACTTCTACTTATGGAAAAAAATAGTCGGGTTTGAATTATCTTCATAATAAGATAAAAGCGATAAGTTTATTTTTTTTCAAAGATGACTTAACAACAGATCCTAACTTCCTGTCAGGAACTTCTGTTTGTCAATAAGGTTTTTGATCTATGTTTTCCTTGTAAGGACTGTTATAATAAACTATAAAATCAATCTTATAATTTATTTTTATATCTTATCTATGTAATGACGTACTTTTATTGTGTAAGATAATATGTGCCTGTTTCGGATCAAGCGGCTTTAATATATAATTTAGGACCAACATAGAAGATTTCACTGCTCAAAATTACTCTGTGTACACTGGCTGCACGTAAAAATAGGAATCCAAATTTAACAATCTTTTTAGACTTATCTTCTTCTTCTAAAAAAAACACCTTCCGCCACAAAAGATAGTTCTTAAATGTTTTCGTTATCGAATTTAATCAAGGGATTTTAATTAAATATACATGCAGTTAAATTAGCATAATAGAATCCAAATTCATTATAAACATCAAAAACATTTGGAATTTTCTAAATAGAGGTCAAGACAAAAATTTGCACGATCAAAAGCTGTGGAGCGAACTTCTTTAAGTTTGAATTTTTGTTTTCTCCATTAATGCTTCGTCAAAGAGTCGGAAATATGCACCATTTTCTAGATCAGTTGGTATACTTTTACAGAATACTTATCTTTCTTTAGTTATAATGAACATCGCTGTAGGAAAACCGGCAGCAGAATCCAGCACTGCGGTTCCGGGGAGTCCAGCAGTTGTCGCTGTTGATGGAAATCGGGACACCAACTGGTTTAGTGGATCATGTACTCACACTGGCTTTAATGAAAATACGCCGTGGTGGCGAGTAGATCTCCTAAATATTTACTACATAGTAACAGTTAGAATGTTAAACAGAGGAGACCCACCAAATTACACTGGTAAGTAAAACCAAACAATTGCAATATATACTAGTCAAAAAAAGTAAGGGAATTTTGCAGTTTGTGGTCAAAATATGCACATATACAAAGGAAAACGAAACCATGTTGTATACTAGTAAGTAATTCCTTAACGAGAAAGAATTTCCAAAGAAATTCATCACTCAAACACATCAAGTACTCTCACGATCTGCACGGGATGCTACTGATGATCAAGAGTATTGTGCAACAAATTTGCATGCCTCTGAATTGAAAGATAAAAGCCGCCCTAAAGAAAGATTCTGAAGAGAGAGTATCAGATTATCAGTTGTTGAAATTGTTAATTAAACAGAGACCATGCACCGTCTAACACATGATCATAGGTTACGTGCCCTTGACATGCATTTGTTGGCACAGGACAGGTCGCCGTGACAATGGCAGTGAATGTTTCCCTGTCTGTTATCTGCAGATTTTGGTCCAGACATCGGTAGGGTCTGTTCAGGATAGAACACGGTCCCGTCGACTTAAGGCAACAATCAAACTCAGGACAGATTCATCCGTACTGTTGCCCTGAGAAATTGTCTGATGACAGCAAATCGGGTAAGGTCTCAACTTCAAAGGGATACTGGCTTTGAAGCGAGTGTCCAGAACACAAGGAATCGACTGGACAGATTTCACTTACAGGCCCGACGTCCTCGTGCCATTCCCTGTTTGAGGGATCGTCTCATTAAGGATCGACTCCGATGGTGTCTTCGCCATCAACGCTGGTATTATCGCCGATGGAATCACGTAATGTTCTCAGATGAGTCGAGGTTCACATTGGACTTTCTAGACAAACGTAGGAGAGCTATGCGCTGACGTAACGAACGTTTCCATCATGACGTTAATATCATTAGACATTATATAGGGTGGATCTGTGATTGTATGGGGAGGCATCATTGTTGCCAGCAGAACAGACTTGCATGTTTTTGCTGAGCAGTAGTACCCGAACAACATCTTGGCACTCCAAGTTGACAACATCTTGGCACTCCACGTTGTGCCGTTTGCTTGTCGTTATGGCCACCAGTTCATTTTCAATATGACAATACCAGATGTTGTAGTGTGAGCTAGGATCGTTACAGATTATTTCCAACAGCAGAACATCACCACATTACCATGACCCACACTCAGTCCGGACCTTTCCCCATCGAGCATGTCTGGGACATGCTTGAACAACGGTTACATGTCCCCTAGCGGGTTCCCCTTTCTCTATAGGATGTCATTTTAAATTTTAATCGTCACTTTCCCTTATGTGGCAACCCTTATCACCTGCATATTTGGTTTATATCTCTCAGTTTATTTGATAAACAAGAGCATGATCAAGATACCTTCAACAATAAACTTTTGACAAATAAGTTAACGAAAGAAAGATATCAACATTCTTGTTTGAAGTCATTATTTCGCAAGTTTATGGTCTATACAATGACCATGTCAGCAAATGCAAACTATCATGAAGTCAAATACTGACTGACGTTTTATAAATTAATTGTTAGACTATTATTTTCATACAAAATTGTGTACTGATTTTCTTCTCTCGTTTTTCTCGATCATGACGGCAGTGACCGGATGGTAGGGAATATTTACTCCTCCATGGCACCTGATTCCACCTTTTGTATTTCATGTTTGCTCTGCTCCTGATTTGTATTGTTTGAATGGACTTGTGAGCTTGAATACTGTCCTTTTATATCTGCTTATTTCACGCACGAAATGAAAATTCCTTGGATATGATAGTATAAACGAGAATCTACAGTTATAAACAAACGAATGAATTGCGACATTCTCAATATAATACAATTAACACAGGTCATCCTTTGATACGAAAGAAAATTAATTATTAGTTTGTTAAAAAACTATAGTTATACTAATAAACCGAATGTTTTTGAGACGTCTCTGATCGCCTCCGTGATGTAACTATCACTGCCGGGAACACCACTTCATCTCTATCTTATTCCGGTGGTTTCTTTGCCGGGCCCGGAAGTACAGGAGAACTTGTGACCGTCCAGTGTGCGCCCCACACAGTCGGGCGGTACGTTAAGATACAGATTGTTACAGAATTTCGTGATCCCATTGTAGATTTTACAGACTCCAAAAGTCGAAAAGACTACAAACTTTCTATTAATTAAGAGAAAACGAGGACCTGTGCTTTTTAAGAACTAAATTGCGTTTGTCTGTGAGCTTGTGTACATGTAAAAGGTTTAATAAACGGAATTTTAATGAAGTTTAATGTATTTTTATGCCCCCAGTAATCGAACATTTGGGGATATATAGTTTTGGCCTGCCTGTCTGTTTGTACGCAAAAACTTTAATCATGCCCATCACTTTTGAGGGAGTGGGTCTCTGACTTTCATATTTGATATGTGTATTTCTTGTGACAAGACATTTCTTTTGGTACTACAAAATTTGACCTCGTGACATTGTAGTTTGACGCCACTATAACTAAGAATTTCTTAACTTTAATCATAGCCATAACTTTTGAATAGATGGTTCCAGGACTTTCATACTTTAAAAGTGTATTCACTAAGACCTTTCAATTGGTCTAAAAATATTTGACCTTTTGACATTGACCTTAGAGTTTTGCCCACTTTTAAAAATTTTTAACCTTGACAATAACTTTTGAACGGTTAGTAAAAGCAATTTCATAGTTCACAGATGTATCCCTTGTGAGAAGGCCTTCTTTAGGTCTCATCAATTTTGACCTTTTAACCTTGGAGTTTAACTTGCATTTGAGAAAGTTCAACCCTCGCCACAAGCTGCCGTATGGGGGCATCAGTGTATCACAGATTCATCTTTTTTTTTTTAATAATATGGTTTTTAAAAGTGTACGGTAAAGATGTCAGATGTTATTTATGACAGGACTGTTTATCAATTGGCATCAATGAGCAAGGATATGGTTGATGCCTTTCCTTTTCAGGCCTTATTTTGGAGGCCACCTATTTTGCCAATTTATATATATTATGTAATAGTCACATACTGGGAGGCCATTTTGTCATTGCACAATTTTTATATATTTTTTCTCAGGATTACATGGTCTCCCAGTCTTTTTTATTCAGTTTTATGTATTATATTATATGTGTCATTTCATTATATTAAATGACATTGTTTGGAACAAATCTGTCTTGTATTATTTGGCAAACAAACAAGCTCAATGTGTCAGAGGAGAGTTTAATCCTAGGAATGAATGGGGAGCCCCCTGTTCCATCCTTTTGAGATAAGAGAACTAGCCTCATTTTATCTACTGCTTTTGTGAAGACAAGACGGCTTAAAGGCTAATCATTTGCTTCAATATTTTTGGATTACCTACCTCCATCTCCAAACAGACCATTACTGTACATCAGGCCACCTCAGATTCACATGTTTATGTTTTTATTGTAATTGAATTTCTTTGTATTTGTATTTGTATTTGTATATATTGTGTGATCATATTCCTTTTTAAAGCAAATTTATATGTGGCCATATTTTGGAGGCCACCTGTTTTGCCAATTTATATATGTTATGTAATAGTCACATACTGGGAGGCCAATTTGTTGTTTTATAATTGTTGTTATAATTTTTTCTCAGGAATTGTGTTTTAATGTTACATGGTCCCCCAGTCTTTTTTATTCAGTTTTATGTATTATATGTTGTCATTATACCCCACGCAACTAGTTGCGGTAGGTATAATGTTTTTGACCCGTCCGTCAGTCAGTCAGTCAGTCAGTCCTCTTTTTTTGTCAGCGCAACTCCTCATAAACCGCTGCACAGAATTTCGTCAAACTTTGCAGGTATTTAGGACACAATGTGTAGATTTGCATATTACCAGGAAATTCCGATTCCATTATTTTTTCCGGGAATTTCCGCACTTTTTAACTTGGGCATTTGGCCATACCTTGAATATAGAGATGAACAGTTTGTCAGCGCAACTCCTCATAAACCGCTGCACAGAATTTCGTCAAACTTTGCAGATATTTAGGACACAATGTGTAGATGTGCATATTACCAGGAAATTCCGATTCCATTATTTTTTCCGGGAATTTCCGCACTTTTTAACTTGGGCATTTGCCCATACCTTGAATATAGAGATGAACAGTTTGTCAGCGCAACTCCTCATAAACCACTGCACAGAATTTCGTCAAACTTTGCAGGTATTTAGGACACAATATGTAGATGTGCTTATTACCAGGAAAAAATTCCGATTCCTATATTTTTTCCGGGACTTTCTGCACTTTTTAACTTAGACATTTGGCCATACCTTTTATATAGAGATGAACAGTTTGTCAGCGCAACTATTCATAAACCGCTGCACAGAATTTCGTCAAACTTTGCAGATATTTAGGACACAATATGTAGATGTGCATATTACCAGGAAATTCCGATTCCGTTATTTTTTCCAGGAATTTCCGCACTTTTTAACTTAGGCATTTGCCCATACCTTGAATATAGAGATGAACAGTTTGTCAGCGCAACTCCTCATAAACCGCTGAACACAATTTCGTCAAACTTTGCAGATATCAAAGACACAATATGTAGATGTACATATTACCAGGAAATTCCGCTTGCTTTATTTTTTCCGGGAACTTCCGCACTAAAAACTTAGGTTTTTGGCCATACCTTGAATATAGAGATGAACAGTTTGTCAGCGCAACTCCTCATAAACCGCTGCACAGAATTTCGTCAAACTTTGCAGATATTTAGGACACAATATGTAGATGTGCATATTACCAGGAAATTCCGATTCCTTTATTTTTCCGGGAATTTCCACACTTTCCAACTTGGACTTTTTGGCCATATTTTGAATATAGAGATGAACAGTTTGTCAGCACCACTCCTCTTAAACTGTTGTACATAGTTTCGTCAACCTATGCAGATATTTAGGACATATTCCATTATTTTATCCCAAAGAGTTTTGCCTATTCCCCATTTTCAAAAGTGAGTTATCTCCCCTCAAAATCGGAACTCTTCTACACTAGCCTAACTTCCGCGGACTACGCAATACGATAATTCAACAAAATAGTGATCAACTTACACGCTGTATTTAAAAATTTTAAAAGAAGGAAATGGTTTGCATTTTTTTTAGATAATAAATTATTTTATAAAGGGTCTGTTAGCCCCCCCCCTTTCTAGAAAGCTATACGAATTAGCCAGGCATGTAGCATCGTCTTTAAAAGTGGGGGGGGGGGTAGCCAAAGAAATATTTTTTTCTTACCTGGAAAAGTTGACAAGCGAAGAGAAACCTTGCCCAAAGTTGAAAAAGCTACTTATTTCAGTACCAGTTCCTTGGCATACAATACTACATTTCCCTTATATAACTTTACCGTAGTATAAACTCTGTGTGTGTGTGTGTGGGGGGGGGGGGGAACCTGTCTATCAATGAAAATTTTTAATAGAAAAAGTAATATTGGGAAAAAGTGGGGCTGGGGCTAAGCCCCTTGACCCCCTCCCCCCCCCCCCCCCCCCCCCCCGTGCGTAAAGGTACAGAGAACGAATATGCAAATGGGTTGAACAGTTGAATATGAACCATAGTTGTGAAAATTAAAAATTATTAGAATTATTAATTGTGAATTCAATAAAATTACTGTACATATATTTTTTCACAGATGTACATGTATGTCAGTTACACGGGGTCTCTCTCTCTCTCTCTCTCTCTCTCTCTCTCTCTCTCTCTCTCTCTCTCTCTCTCTCTCTCTCTTTTACACACTTTAAAAAAAAAATAACACTTGAGAAAAGAATGTTTTCCGTTAATTAACGAGAAATACGCTAGGAAATTATTGTATCAATTTCGTGTTTCTGCTCTCAGTTCTCTTATCTAAAACAAAATGTGTATTTTACTCGGGAATATACATGTACATATGCTTAGATCCTACACTAAAACTTTGATTAAATGCAGCTTAGACTTTATACGACATATGTAACACGAATTCAGGTCGATGCTATTTTAATTAGTCTTTCTTCGTTACATGAGCACATGAGATTAAATTATTCATTTAGAATTCCATTCAAAGTTTTAATACTATACAATGAATCAATTATTTTACTAATAAAAAATTCTAGAAACACGGTTAATTCAAATGAAATAGGCCTTTAATTGTCACCAAATGTGTTCTTGTAAGTAAAAGTTCTGTTATGACATAAAATCGAGCAAAAACGCAGTTTCTTGGTATCGGTCGCGGAAGACGAACTACTGCTGTATATGCAGCAATGTCAGAGGTAAAACTGTAGATGGACATGTCATCAGTCTCCAAAAAATTCCTAGAGATGCAAAGAAAATATGGCTGCAGCAGGCTAGATTAATTCTTAAAAACTTTATAACTAAAAATTTGTTCCGCACATTTTGTAAATAATGATGATCCGTCTGCAGAACATCCACTACCGAAAATTAGCTTTTGTTTTTTTTTTTAAATAGGCCTATTCGAATATGTATCGGCATTTTATCAGTAATTTGTTTCGGTTTTTTTTTTTGTAAGGGGGGGGGGGGTCACACAGCACCTTATTATAGTACTATACAGATTAATACAAATCCAGAAAGAGACTATGAGTGGGCAATTAAAAAAAAATACGAATCAGTTAAGATTTCTTTTTATTCACAAACACAATAACATTTTTCCATATGACAGAGGCATTACACCATGAACATGTTTACATCAAGAACGTCCGCGGAAGTGACTTTATTTATAGCGCATGCGTATTAAACACAGTAAAAGAGTTCCCTTCAGGGGAAATAACTCACCTTTTGAAAATGGGGAATTACTCAAGAAAATTTCTCCCCCCCCCAACCACTTCAAATTAATGTTTGGATTTGTATAATGCCAAGAAATTTTGATTCCATTATTTATCTAAAAACTTCATTCCACATTTAAATGTCCTTATATGCAAGACATTTTGATGTGAAGATTACAATCAAATTTTTTTTAAATTTGCAATTATTGCCCGTTTTGATCTATACTATGTATTTAAAGTGCACTGTGCCTTTCATTATGTGTTTCACCGTCAAGTTTTGGGGGAGCGTGGGGTATGTGAGCTAGCTCACTTTTTCTTTCATTTCATAATAAATGACATTGTTTGGAACAAACCCGTCTTGTATTATTGGCAAAAAACAAGCTCAGTGTGTCAGAGGAGTGTTTAATCCTAGGAATGAAAGCTGAACTTA